AAGCCATTGCTACATCCACCTATCTCACAAACCGACTTCCCAGTAAACCACTTGACTACAAAACACCTCTCGACACCTTATCCTCTCATGTCACCATCCCATCAGTCCATTCTTTACCTCCACGAGTCTTTGGGTGCGTTGTCTATGTTCATTTACCAAAACGGGCTCGAAATAAGCTCGAACCTAGGGCAGTTAAATGTGTCTTTATTGGGTATGGGGTTCATCAAAAAGGGTACCGTTGTTACGATCCAATTTAAAAAAGGGTCTACACCACCTTAGACTGTGAGTTCTTTGAACAAACTTACTATTACACCCCGCTAAGTCCTCAGGGGGAGAATTTGAGTGATGACCTTAGCTGGCTGACATATCCAGAAATGGTGGACCCAGATCCTACAACACAAGTAGGCAATACCACCGATGCTACCCCAGAAGCAGTAGTCTCACTTCCTCTTCGATCTCCACCAAATCCGCCAAATGAGCATCCATCTGAAGAGGTACCATCTGAAAGCTCTCCTGTTTCCTATAATATGCCTGAAATTAATCCTGTCTCCAATGAAAGTGAACAAAACAGGTATGAGTTACCTCCTAGAAGTACGAGAGGAGTTCCACCAAGGAGATATGATCCTGAATATGAGGACCAACGGTCGAGATACCCAATCGAAAGAATCAGCACTGAAAATCTATCCAGCACAGCCATAGCTTTCAATGCCTCTTTATACTCCGCAGACATTCCAAAGAATGTGGAGGAAGCTGTCAAGAATGAAAAATGGAAGCAGGCTATGGAAGAAGAGTATCAGGCCCTACAGAAAAACAAGACTTGGGAGAAATGCATCTTACCAAAGGGGAAGAAGAAGGTGGGATGTAGATGGGTATTCTCCATCAAATACAGAGCAGATGGAACTATTGAGAGATACAAAGCACGGCTGGTTGCTAAGGGATACACTCAGACATATGGAATAGACTACTTAGAAACTTTCTCTCCTGTGGCCAAAATTGACACGATACGAGTTCTGGTTTCTGTAGCTGCAAACAAGGAATGGCCTTTGTACCAGTTTGATGTAAAAAATGCCTTCCTTCATGGAAGCATTGACGAGGAGGTGTATATGGAAGTACCTCCTGGATATTCTCATGATTTTAGAGATGGGGAAGGATGCAGATTGAGGAAGGCTCTCTACGGACTAAAACAGTCTCCTAAGGCGTGGTTCGGAAGATTCACAAAAGCTATGAAGAAGTTTGGATATAGGCAAAGTAATTCCGATCATACTTTATTCCTGAAGAAAGAAAAAGAGAAAATCACCTGTTTAATCATCTATGTAGATGACATGATTATTACAGGAAATGATGAGGAGGAGATTGCAGACTTAAAGGGAAAATTATTTCAGGAATTTGAGATGAAAGATTTGGGCAATCTCAAATACTTTCTTGGCATAGAGGTCTTGAGATCAAAGCAAGGGATCTTCATTCACCAGAGGAAATATATTCTTGACCTTCTGGCAGAAACAGGAATGCTTGGTTGCAAACCAGCTGAAACACCGATTGTGGCAAATCATGGCCTTCAAATTCTTGAAGGTGCAAAATTGACTAATAAGGAGGAGTATCAAAAGATTGTGGGGAAACTTATTTACTTAGCTCACACAAGACCAGACATAGCCTATGCAGTAGGGGTAGTGAGCAGATTCATGCATCTTCCACAAGTACAACACATGACAGCAGTAATGAGGATTTTGAGGTACCTAAAGGGTACAAGTAGTACTGGGATTTACTTTGACAAGAATGATCACCTAGATCTAATTGCGTACACGGACGCAGATTGGGCAGGAGATCGTGATGGTAGAAAATCCACCTCTGGATACTTCACCCTAGTAGGAGGTAATTTGGTCACCTGGAGAAGTAAGAAGCAGAAAGTAGTGGCTTTGTCAAGTGCAGAGGCAGAATTCAGAGGTATTGCAAAAGGGATAACTGAAATCTTATGGATCCGGAAACTTATGAGTGAAATTGGTTTTCCACAAAAAACAGCATGCAAACTCTTTTGTGATAACAAAGCAGCAATAAGTATCTCAGAAAATCCAGTTCAACACGACAGAACGAAGCATGTTGAGATAGACAGACACTTCATAAAAGACAAACTGGAAGATAAGATAATTAAACTTCCATTTGTGAGATCAAGAGATCAGTTAGCTGATATCCTGACAAAAGCTGTCAACAGTGAAGCATTCGATGAGACATTACGCAAGTTAGGCATTGGAGCACCAAATGCCCAACTTGAGGGGGAGTGTAGAAATAACCATAATTAGTTCCTTAATTAAAGGGACTAAATATTGACCAATTTATTCTGCAAATATTTAGGCTGTATTTTTTGTAGTAGTTGCTGTAACCTTGGTAGTAGTTGCCTAATTTACAGGATACTTCTGTGTATAAATATTTGTACTATCACCAGCAATAAACACACAGAAAATTGCAAACACAATTCTGCTTAATTCTCTATAGTGTGAAGGAGAAATTATGGAAAAAATTACAAGGGTGGAAGGGCATGAGTCTTTCTAAAGCGGGTAGGGAAACTTTGATAAAGGCAGTGGCCCAATCTATTCCTACCTACGTGATGAGCGTTTTAAGACTCCCTTCTTCTTTTTGTGATGAGGTTCGATCCCTTATTTCGCACTTTTGGTGGGGGCAAAAGCAAGGAGAGAAGAAAATCCATTAGTTAGCTTGGAGAAAAATCTGTCGCCCCAAGGTGGAAGGTGGGCTTGGTTTTCGTGATATGAAAATGTTTAATTGGGCACTCTTAGGGAAGCAAACGTGATGGTTGATTAATAACTCGGGTTCTCTCGTCTTTAGAGTCTTAAAGGCTCGTTATTTTCCAGATTGTGCGTTTCTTGAGGCTAGATTGGGATCAAATCCTAGCTATGCATGGCGTGGGATTTGGGAAGCGCGGTAGATTGCGGAGAAGGGAATGTGCTAGCGAATTGGAAATGGTAGACGAGTGAGTGTGTGGAAGGATAAGTGGATTCCTGGGACCCAAACTCATAGGGTCATTTCATCGTGTCCGTAAGGGTGTGATGATCTTAGGGTGAGTGATTTGATTGCGGATGATGGTAGTGGCTGGAAGGTGGACCGAATTAAAGAGTTGTTTCTTCCCTTTGAGTGTGATAGAATTCTCTCTATACCCTTGAGCTCTCGGCTTCGTGATGATTGTGTGTTTTGGGACCTTGAAACGGATGGAAACTACTCTGTTAGATCAGCTTATAAGCTGATTTTTGGGGAGAATTTTGGTACTGCTAATAGCTCAAGTAATCAGGAAATGCGCAAGATATGGAATATGGTGTGGGGCGTAAATGTGTTGCCTCGAACCAAAGTATTCTTTTGGAGGTCGTGCCATGAGGCTTTGCTAACTAACAAGGGCTTGAATGTGCGTGAGAACGGCGTGGAGAAAGTTTGCAACCTTTGTGGGGAGGAAGAGGAGAGCGTGACTCATGCTGTACTTGAATGTTCAAGGGCTAGAAGCATTTAGGAAGTGAGTGGTTATGCGTGGGTGGTGGATGGAAAATGGCGGTGCTTCTTGGACTGGGTTCAGCTTGTCTTCAAAGATTTAGATGATAAAAATCGAAGGTGGGTTATGGTTCTTTGCTGGGCTATTTGGGGTGCTAGAAATAAGGGATTGTTCGAAGAGGATTGGGATGAACCGAGGGATGTATGGAATTATGTGCAGAAGATTATGAGGGAGCTTGATTCGGCGAAGATGGAGGCAAATCCGAGAAGCAATGATAGGAGTCAAGCATGCTGGTCTCCTCCTACTGGTAATCGAATTAAATTAAATGTGGATGCGGGGCTTTTAGGTGCAGCGGGTCTTGGGGTGAGGTGGTGATTAATGCACTCAATCGAAGTGAAAAAGGCAACAGCCCGTTTCACTTGACTCTTGAAGATATTTCTATAGTGGTTGGTAGTTTTTCTTCTTTGTCTTGGTCTTGGATTAGAAGGGGTGGCAATAAGGTGGCTCATGAGCTTGCTCATGCTCCTCCTTGGGTGCTTGGTAGGAAAGTATGGCATAACCACTTTCCCTCTTCTATATGTAATCTGGTTCACTCTGATATTAATATAAGTATCTAAGTCCTGGGTTGGGAACTTCTTTCAAAAAAAATAAAAAAATTATCCACTACGTGTCTACGTATGTTTCTATTAAAAAAAAAAAAATCTATGTTTTATTGATAAAATTTTGACAAGAAGAAAAAAGTTTTCATTAATGAAAGATAGTCAAACGTCACTTACAAACAATTCCTATGAAAATTAGAATTCTAACACAAGTGCAAATCACCTTAGAACTAGATACATCGCAGATTCGATCAACGATCGCCTTAATAAAAAACTTCATCCGAAGCAATACAATGTGTGAGTTAGCACTAATTCGGCTTGAGATCCACTGATGATTAGTTGTTTGAGTGAAATCAAAAAAACCCTTCACTCCATGATCCTCATATAAATTGTTCTTATAGCTTGAGTTAGTTCATGTAAATTACATACTACGCAACGGAAATACAACTTAGCAACTAACACATATTTTGGCTTAGTTTTAAGTTAGCACAGCTTACAATCGTTGGGGAAAAGAAAAGAAAACGAAACAGAAATTAGCACTTGCTGTAATTAATACTTCTATTTGAGGTAACTAGGAAGAAATTTAAAATTCAAAGGTAGTGATCAATCTGATCATTACAGGCATTCTGCTTCCCAAATTTGACTATAACTCAAAAGCTAATCTATTCAGCGTTATCTTTGTGTTGATGTTGAAGGTTAAATTTGTTTTCTGTTGCCTAAGTTTCATTGTGCAACACAAGGGGGCAAGGCTGCAGGGGCAAAGCTAGACTTGATTCTTATCTTATAATGTGGGGCACTGGGGGAGTTGGGTCTCTATAATGCTTCACCCCTGGCATAACGATTAACGACTATACCCCCGAATTATCGAGAGTTTCATAACTTCGTACGTAATACACTAAAAACACAATTACACAATGCTCCCTGTCATCCTGTGCAAGGAAACTACGGTGGGAGAAAAAAAAATTCTTTCCAGAATTTCTTGCCTTCAAAGTATATATGAAAACAATACATACTCCGTATATGACTTGCCACATAACATTAAAAGATTACAAGAAAAACAATAAGATCTTAATACAATTACAAAAGCTCAGAAAAAAAAACATCGCTATACGGCCATTCAGAAACTGCAGTTGAAAGGCATTGTTTCCTGCAACTACATACATGTAAAATCCGAACTTAAACCTTCTGGGCAGGCCTTACTAGCCCTAAACCTGAACCGCTTCCCAAATGTTTGAAATCTTTTGCTTCCAAATTCTCATCATGACCAGAAAATCCCGTACCTCCCTTCTTCAAATTTACTAGATTCTTCTCTTTACATGGCTTATTGCAAACTAGACAAACCTTGTCAACAACCATAAACTTATCTGCGCATTTCTTGCAGAATACATGACCGCAAGAGCTAAGAGCCACAAGTGACATTGCATTGGTCATTGTAACCTTGCAGCTTGGACAAATATGTTTTTTGTCATAAGCTGTTGATTTGTAGTCCTCACCCTTTTCTTCTGTGAAATATACGGGGAAAAGGGATTTCAGCTTTAGCTTCTCGTTTCCCTCTGGACAAGTTGTGCTAGTGGAAGGAGCCTCTACTTTAGCAGCTGCTTCTGGAGTAGCAGAAGGAAGCCAGAAAGCTTTCATGGTTCTCAAGGCTTCCTCTTCAAAAGAAGTAGCCTTTACACTATTTGCACCATGGAAACCATTCTTATCACGAGAATAATTTTTATCACTGTGATGGGGCACTGCCCCGTGATTTTGCTGATCAAATGCCTCAAGTTCCCGGGCCTTTTGAAGCATCAATTTCTCCTCTTGCTCTCCTACCTCTTGCTTCTTCTGCGCAGCATGTGCAGCTAACTTTCTGCGATGTTAGTTGATGAAATCAACATATTTAATATTGTAGTTGATAGAGAGAAAAAAGACGGATGTGTTCAAGAACCGTTCTTATGAAACTAGAAGTTCCTTCAGAACATTCAAAATATAAGGTCAATACTCAATAGCTGAAATTCATTATCCATAGAAAAGAGGGCTAAACCTTAGCAAAAAGCATAAAAGAACCACCTACAACATCTCCTAGCAATTGCGCATACAAGAGATAAAGTTGATAGTCTATCTGCCAGGGATATATATGATCAAGTGACTGATGTCAAGGAGATACATAATCAGAGCATGTCAAGGAAATATAAGAAGTGCAAGAAACAAGGTTCATGTCCGTATGATTATGGCTGACTGAAAATAGAAACAAAGTGATGAGCTTAAAAGATCAACCTGGATCCAAGGGGGATACTGTAAAATCAAATGTAAAAGTCAAAATGGAGCTCAAGCTTGTAAAATCAATGACATGTTTGACCAAATGAGTATTATTTCCATATCTTTCACAAGAAATATAGCTACCTTGAAAAAATACCCTAGCATTCAGGACATAATCACATCCTGTTTCCACCTTCTTTACAAGAGAAACAAGAGGCTCATGCTCTGATTCAATAAAGTAAGGGAAGCATCTGTGAATCCAATAGAACAAATTCTAACTAGCAAGATGAAAAATAACAGACAAGCTAATAGAAGCTGTGGTGTATGTCCTAAACACTATTTTAATTGCCTATTTCAGCTGAATGTACTAACCACAATTTTCAATGTCTATAGTTAAATAAAGGAGTCATATTTTAAGCACAGCAGTGCAGGTCTTTGATAGGAGTTCTTATCAAACACCATTCTAAGTGCAGTAGTCTAGCTTTCGCCTCTCACTGTAATAACAACATTATAATTGTTGGGCTTTAAATGCCTCTATCACAAACTTTCTTACAACCACCAAGAATTCAACTCTTTAAGGGCCAACCAACATTGTGATGACCAGTTTAACTACCCAGTGGGAATGAATAGTAACATATTGGGAGCCAAACAAATGCCCACAGATAAGAGAAATTTCAAACATTTTATTTTTTTTTGACATTAGACTGTAGAGAGCACTAAGGATTGAAATGATCAAGGCTTGCTTCTAATCACACCGACTTAGAATGATGCATTTGGCGCATCTCAAACATCAGTCTACCCATCACTACGCTATCTTAAATGCAAAGTTACCCCAACCCAGGGGCATAAATTAATCAAAAAAATACCACTTAAAGTGTTCACATAGTTTACTTTCAATAATATATAAATATATATATTATTTATATAGATAAATCCTCTCCCTTAAAGAGTATTTTGTCAATTGAAAAGTAATCCTTCTAACTTTTACCCTTTCCCCTTGATCAGAGTGATCTTCTCTTTCACCTTTTTTCTTAATCCAAGTTTTTCTAACTATCACCCTTTTTTCATAATCAGAGTAATTCCGCTATAATAGTTATCATTTATAGCAGAATCACTCAGCGATGATACTAGAGCGAGCAGACTAATGTGGCAATCACAAACCATCCTCAATCAAGAATGGTCTTCACATAGGTGCCAAAAGCTTCCATGATGGATGAGTTAAAATATGGCACCGGTGTAAAAATAAAATAATATATCACATCCATAAACATGAAGGTTCATATAGTTGACCCCATCTCTATGGGAATACGGCAATGGCAAAGAAGAAAAAGAGAATTTTCATAACACACCTCATCATCTCATAATTCCTTCATTCTATAATTAACTTTCAGGATTTTCAATTAGCTGGTATGATCATTGATATATTTGACTATGTATCAGTAATAATAATGAAAATTGATATCTTGCAAATACACATGGAGATGAATCTAACAAAAGTTCACATGACTATGCTTTTTCTTATGTATTGATGAGCAAATTTGGTCAAAAATCACATACTTTCACCACATAATCAATATGAGGCAATTAATATCTAATAGAGGAAATACATCGAAAATTTTAAACTTCAGCCTTGCCTAGACCCTAAAACTGAATATCACAGTCTCAAATCCAAAACTTACGGAACAAAAAATGCAGTCTATAGAAACTAACTGCATCCCACATAACTGAATGATCAATATATCAACACAACTTTAATCAAGTCCATCCCATCTAGGAGTAGAATGTACTGTGAGAGTCAATAGTCGAATGTAGAATTTCCAAAATTACAATCCAGATTAACTACACCGAGTTACAAATACCATAATCACCAATGGAGGACAAGTACAGCATTAGTACCCTCAGCCACAAACGCCACGCCACTATCCGCCAACAAAGTAAGCCCTAATTTCATCAAGTTAAACATTCTAATGTATAACACAATAAACTCCACCTTTGCAACACTCAATCCAGATACTCAAATCAACAATACACTACTAAACTATATCAAACTTAAAAATTACATCATTATACTGTACAAAACCACAAATTAGCACAGAAATTACAAAATAACAATCAATTAAAACGAGAAAAAAAAAAAAAAAGGAAAATTCAGAAATTACCTTTGAATATCCTTCTTCTGGGAAAGCAAGCATTCGAGGATACACTCTTTGCAAAATACATGACCTTTAGGGCAGCACAAAGGTTCAATAACAAGCTTCAAGCAGAGACAACAAGCGTCGAAAGGTTTAATGGAGTCTTTCCCTAATCTCTCTTTCTGGGTACCATACCCTAGCTTACGCTTCTCATCGTAGGTGAAAAACGCGAGATCGTTGTTGTTCTTCGAGTGTCTTTGAGGCATCTTTCAGCTTCGATTTCGGAGAAAACCCTAATTATTGCTTAGAATTGCAAGGTTTGATTGGAGAGAGATCGAAAGAAGGAGGGAATTGGATTTGGGGAAATCGGATTTGGAACCCTAGAACTTGTAAAGATGAGAGAGAGTGTGTGTGATGAGAATGAGGGAAATCTTCGTCCTGTTTTTCACCGTCATAAAAAAAAAAAGGGGAGTGTTAAATGTCGCCCTTATTTTACATACTAATGGCCACAATTTGTCTTGAATGGACCACTATGCTCTTCCCTTTTCAATCTCAAATTGTACGAGTAACATTTTTTTCAATACCCATATCAGTTTTTTGCGGAATTTTTTTTCAGAAATTCTACTAACCAGACAAAACAACATTCATCATCACCATAATTATATAAAAAATTCTCCACATGCTCCATGATTCATAAACTGGGTATCGATAAAAACAGGAGAAATTAGAGGAAGTAGACACCAAAGTCAAGAAATCTAACAGATTTTCTTTGACATTAATATCCAATAAAACCTTCAATTATTGTAATTCAATGATTATATCTCCCCCCAACCGCTAACCCCACCGCCATCACCATCTCTTCACCAGCCACCACCACAAACACCACCACCCGCCACGCCCACCACTCCCATTAATGGCTTTAAGAGTTTAGTTTTTTTTTTTTTTTTTTTAAAAAAAAAAAAATAGAGGAACGCCCAAATATATTGTAACCAGTAGGTGGAAACGCCTGAATATTTCGTTCCCATCTACAGGTTATGAAATCATTAGGCGTTTCCAACAAAACGCTTACAAATTTCGTAACCTTCAGTTGGGAACGAAAAATTCAGGCGTTTCCACCTGCGAGGTACGACATTTTGAGGTGTTTTCCGACCACCTTCTTTCTCTATGCTTCCTTGTCGCCGATTTGTTTAACTCCGAACTCGCCGTTTCCTGCTACCCCATTAAAGATCTCTGTGAAGAATAGGTAATTTTAATCCTAATTAAATTATTTTTTTACTTTTTGTTAATTAAAGATTTCTGTAGAATTACATTTTTGCATAGTATATGAAAAAATCAGCAATTTATTTTTTAGCACATATCAATCACATGTATTGGACCGATTGTGTGATCGATTTTAGGATTTGCAATGTATTGTGATTATCAATAGTACACTTAGGCTGTGTTTGAGAATCCATATTTTGTTTCAAATGAAGGTGCTTCAATGGATGAGAGTGAAAAGGAGATGGCCAAAATGGTATGTTTAAGTCAATGTGGGCGTTAGTATGTAAAATAGGAGCGACATTTAGCGTTTCACTAAAATAGAGGTGTTTTGAAAATATAATACTGCGGGTGAGAAAAAATTCCAAGCAATCGGAATACGAACTGAAATCGGAATCGTTTAGGAATTGGTGGGTCTTAAATCAGAATCATATCCAGTGTTTTTATTTCGGGTAATAAATTAAGCAACTGGTTTTAATTTTAATTATTAATTTTTTTAGATTCGAAATCAAATGGATATCAATTACCCAACATATATTAAACTAAATATATTTTAAAAATTATTATTAATATCTAACATAAATAAAAGTATACATAAATAAAATAGCTTAATGCATATATACATAAAAGTATTAAACACTATAAAAAATAGATCCAAAATAACTGGGTATCCGGAACTGATACCAGGTGGTTCCAATTCCTTAAGACCCGGTTAAATAGCTTAATGAAATTCGTTTCCAATCTTAAAAACACTCTTGCGGTCTTGCCAACATCTTAGCCTTTAAAACTTATCTTTTAAAAAAATATATTAAATGAGCAAAAAAATACCACACTCGTGTGTATATGAAAGGAGTTGCAAATTTGATCTAATGTTATCCTACAACTTAATATATTTTAAAATATTTGTAATAGATGTGTTTGAAAATAATCCTTAACTTAGGACGGACCAAAAAAAAAAGTGTTGGCTTTGGTATAAAAATAATAACCAAGCCCACAATTGTTTGACATAATTTTAAAGTGAAGATTTTGGAAACCAGATTATATTTTGTGTAATTATATCTATTTCAATTTACTTTACATGTCAATTTTGGGATGTCCTAATTTACTTACACTACTTTTCTACTATTTGAGGTGTCCAAAATTACTTGCACCATTTTTCTTGCACTATGTTTTCACATGCATAAAATTTTGTGTAAATAATCATGTAACAGAAGAATTATCCGTTTTTATAATCAGGGAAATATTCAAGACCCGTTTTATTCATGTGGGATAAACCCGTTTAACAAACTTTCATAAAATGAAGGATTTAATTTCCCAATTTAGCCCAATGTTTTGACAAAAAGTTGGTTGAATGCCATTTGGGCTTAGGCCACTTGATGGGTTCCATTAGAAATAAGCTTCCAACACATAATTGATAGCTACAAATCTACAATATCATCTCTATATTGTCATTTTATTGATACATAAATACATACTTGTAGCTATTACGAATAGATGTGAACAATATGTTAGCTATAAAAATAGATAATAAATTATGTATGAGTGTTTGATAAAATATTTATTGACTAGTTGTTGCCTATAAATATATATATATCCAACACCTACCTTCAATCTTCAAAACCACTAATAATATTAATTTTTCACAAAATCTACTTCAACCACCAAACACTACTCCCGCCACTATATTGGCAAACACTCAAAATTTTCTATTAAATAATAATTTGACCCAGTCAAATCACTAAAAACTAATGTCGAACATGCCCATATAGCTACGACATAAAACAATCCACTTTATGAAAAATCAAGTATACCATACCTTGTGGACCATGCTACTAGTAATCCCCCCCCCCCCCCAAAAAAAAACAACAACAACAAAACACTAAGTGTGTTCCAAGTTTGAAGCCACCATGAAATTGACGTCATTTGAATCGTCCAAATTGTCCTATGCCTTGATATTTGATGACATGCAAGATGCAATGGATAATATTGCATAATGTTACATCAATATTAGTCGTATCATATATCCCTCTCATGGTTGGAAATACATACCATCTCCATTAATGTCAAAATATGGGCCCTTTTGCTTTAATGATTTTGGAGGTCTTACTCAAGATTTTCGTTGTAGATGAGTGTTTATGTATGTAGCCCCAAGTTTTATGCCTATAGAACGAAAGGTACATACTTGTAAGGTGTGGTTGGAGTTTTATGTGTTTGTGATTAAAGTTCTCATTTTGCCTTTCTACATTAGTTCGTACATATGATTGTGTGACTTTCATCCGTTCCATAGCTATCATAAGCTAGTAGTAGATTCAATTCTTCACACTTCTATCCCATCTCGGATTCAATAAAAGCATAAGTCAAGTTTGCAATTCATTTATCTTATTGTTCAATACATATAAGTTAGGGTTTCAGACATTGAAAAGATCTAATAACAACCCTATATAATTTACAGTTTCTTACTTTTAACATGTATATTCTCCATCTGAATCTAACATTAACAACTTGTGCAAGAAGGAGAATCATCGACCCATACTCTTCTACGGTTCTACCAATTAATAAACAATATGGACGTAAACAATCAATGAGCAATCCAATACGGCAATACCTTCCTCTACAAACAATAATGTTCCAAGACAAACTTTAATTTACAAACGGACTAACATGAATTGAATAAAATTAAAACTATGGAGTAACTAAATTAATTATTCCAACAAAAAGATATAAATCACCCTAATAAAAGCATCTTGAGAAGCTAGCAAAACACCCATAAATCAAGTTGCACTACTTTGGTAAACTGAAAGTACATGGTCGGCATGTGAATATGTTGGGAACCCAAGTTTTTATAACAATCCCATGCTCATAATTTCATAGGACAACCAATTATTTTTATGCCAATCTTTCATTTCATTAATAATCGTATATCTTACTCTAAATTTTATACTGTATTTGTCTTTGATTTCTTGCTCTTAATACGTTTCGCAAACAAAAAACACATAAAATCTAGTGTTAATGTCGCCGAAACGTTCGATATTTTAATAAAGATTATCATTTTGAATCAAAACTTGTCGGAGCTAATTCATCATTTTACTCGTTTTTTGCGAAACTTATTACTTTAACATGGCTTCAAAGTAAAGTAAACTGTTGAAACAAAGTGTGTTTTAGGTGTGAATTTTGTGAAAAATCACAAAGTCCCACATTGATGGAAAATGAGAGTCTTGCTCTCTTTATATAGAAGTGTGTAGTATACTTGGGTGTGGCCCAAGGGCTACTCATGTTTTATGGAGAGGGGAGACTTACCTATCAAGCCAACCTAACACGTGCATCAAGTTGGGTTGGGCTGGGTTGGGTTGGGCTGGGTTGGGTCGGGTATTCTCAATAACACTGTTCTTATCATTTTTGTTCCCGTAAGTTTCGTTTATAACATAAACTAGAAGGATTAGGCTTTATCTGTCAAGGATTAATTGGGGTTTATTAGAAAATTTCAAATAATATAGTTGGACCTTAAATCATAAGATTTTTATTTATCTAGGCTATTATTGGAGTAGTATTATTTAGCGGATAAAGATAAAAGAGTAACCTAAATATTAATAGTGATGTTATCGAACCAAACATAACCTAAATGTCACTGGACGTGTCAAATAAAATATAGAGCCTAATATCCGATTTCTTGCATGACGCGTCGTTTAAATAATAACTTAGTTCCTTATTAAGTGATTTATGGGACTGGCAAAGTGAAAGTTGCTGCTTTCGTACACTGATTGATCAGCAACATGAAGCAAGTACATTGAATTTTCCTTAGCCATATATTGGAATGTGGACTTTTTTATCCCACGTAAATCAAATTTAAGTAGTTGAAACTAAATTCCTGGCTTATTAAAAAGAACGTGAAATTGTTAACAAAAAGCATACACATAAACTCAAGTGGAGAAAAATTGATTTAGTTCACCATAATTCATTATACATTACGTAAGATTAACTAAAGAATTGAACTCCAAAATCAAGTAGTAATATTATAATTTCTTACCGACAATCATTCACTTTTAAGATGACGACTATACTTAAGCATATACTTGTAAGTATATATAATGTAATATACAAAATGATATGATTATATTGGGTTTGGACCACTAGATTAGCTAGTTAATTTAAGTTCAAAGCACCTTTGGATTTTCAATATTTTTGTCGTGTTATTTAAATTTTATGGAGAATTCCATCTTTTAAATACTGTATGTGTCTTAAAAGACCTTTTGCTATTCCAATCAAGAGAAAACCTTTAAAATACTGGTAATAAATTAACACGCTTGATGAACAATCAAACAACACAGCAGAATAGAATGATATAGCTAGCGTCATTACCAAATCAATGATCATAAGTATCTGACCATTAGTACTACATATAAATCCGAATAATTATTAGGCCCTCAAGTTTTAATCTTCTCTTTGTAATGAAAGACCCACCACACGTCCCTTTTCTTGGAGGGATGGGTCTTAGACAAAATAATCCATCTTCAATTATTAGTTTATTTTAATTAATTAATTTATGTGGTTTAGTTGATAGTTAACAAATAATTTTAATTTAATCGATTGTAATAAAAAATAGCTGATAATTGATCAAGTTCATCAAAATAAAGAACCATTCAAAAAAAAAAAAAAAAAAAAAAAAAGAAAGAAACAGGGGAAATTAAAACAAGAACATTACAAAAGAGGGATATTCAACTATATTGACCAATAGTGAAAGTAAGTAGATTATTGTAGACAAGAAAATAACACATTACATATATAATTCTCACCTAACTCAACTCTATACACTTTTATTTTTCATTTTACCGCGGATGTGACACTGAATATGACCATGGAACAACTTGATTTTCTTCATCATCTTCATGTTCATCACCATCGTTATCACTATGATCACCATCTTCAAACCCGTCATCCCCATCGTCGTCGTCATCATCATCGTTGTCGTCCTCCTCTTCATCATCATCATTATCGTCCTCATCAAGATCCTCATCGGCCACTACACGGCCGTCACCCATGTTTATATCTCTAGCATTATTATTATGGTGCCGTGCATCATTTTTCGCACCGAGACATGTTGGACAAACGGAGATAGTAGGTCCAAACTTGGGGCCGGACCCCGACCATAGTGTAGGAGATTGACAAATATGGCAAAGAAGAGTCCTACAATGTTTAGAAACAAGAAAATTAGCACTGTGAACTTTGGAATCACATTCATAGCATAAATTTGCTTGATCTGACTCACAAAATATTGTAGCAATATTGCTACATAACTCACATTTTCTCTTCACCCTCATTTTTTTTTTTAACAATTTAATTTCTCCAAACAAGGAATAGCAATGATTTCTCTGTATTTATAGAAGGCTTTTTTAAGGTGGAAAAAGTATGGTTTTGGCAAGTTGAAGTTTGTTTATGTAAATAAATTGCCTGGCTAAGTTCGTGGTGGGATTTTGAAGATTTGATGTAAGATATTTTTATATATTATTTCTACTATTGCTTATTCTAGTGACAACTAGGAGAAGTTGTGGCTATTGTCATTTCCTTTTAATGTAAATAAATATAAACCATATGATATGATTCTTCAGGTGGATTCAAAGGGTATCCCATGGAATTATTTTAGTACTTATTCCACTATATTTCTCTCATTTGATTAATTAATACTTCGTCTGTTTCACTAAAATTGCCCTATATATCAAAAATAACTATACGATTAAGTTCGCATCATTGTCTTAATTATACTCCCCCCATTTTTAAATACTTGCTCCATTTCTCCATGTGCGGAGTTTTAGGAGTTTGGAGACAATAATAAAATATGAAGGTAGTGGGGTAGGTGGAAGAATAAAAAATTATAAAAAGCAAAAGTATTTGAGAGAATTGGAGGAGAGAGAGTATGAAATTAATGAATTATAATTTATGTTGGGTCCACTAGTTGAGAAAAATGAATTAAGTATTGTAAAAGCTTTCCAAATAAGGAAATGAAACAAGTATTTAAAAGGGACTGAAAATATAAAATGGAACAAGTATTTAAAAACGGAGAGAGTGTAAATTTTTAATTCATGTGCAATTACGTAAAAACAAAAAATAAAATAAAAATAATAAATAACCTCATATCCTTTTAAATAAACCAACTCTTAACGAAATGTTGTATGGAGATGGGACAATTGTCAAGGAATAGAAGCCACAGAGGAAGTATTAGTTTATTATGGAGGGTGAACATATATTATTGCTCTACTTTCTTGAATGGGTAGGATGTTGGAACTTCTACATGTGGAACTAATTATACTAAAAGTACAAATTAAAGTTTGATTAGAAGTCTAATTAATTGTTTTATCTATCAATAAGGACAAACCACCTTATGTAAATATCCATAAATGTAAAATACATAAGTTAATGAATTATGCATATAATAGGACTATGGGTCCTTTTCATGCCTTGCACTAAACTCCAATCGATCTATTATTTGGAAATGACTAATGAGAGATGAGCTTATAACTCAAGATTTCGTTACGTAGTCTTCATTACTTCAATACATATTTGAAAAAAAAAAAAAAAAAACAACTTTACTAAAAATATATAATAATGATTAATTGCAAGCTAATCGAATTTTAACCTTCCATGGAATCAAGTATTAGGATATTATCTGATGAAGTTTAAACTATGTTTGCTTGTTTAGTTTTGCCGATGTATTCCTTACAACTAATAAACGAAATTTTCAAGATTATTATAATACATTCCTTTCTTGTTAGTTGTTACAACTTACAGCTCATAAACAAAAGTTGTGCATATTTATGATCGTGAATCTTTCTTATTCAAAATGTTTTCATCCATATATAACATAAAGTTTTTGCTATATAAAATAGAAATATATTACGTATTAAAAAATATGATTAAGCTAGAAGTGGTTTGTAACTCAAAAGGTTGATACAAAATGTTTGATGGTATATTGGTATGAAATGAAGCCGTGTTGTTTTCAGTTCAATTTTATTTAATTCTATTTTGCCCGATTAAGTTAAGGTGCATGCTTACTCTCTACAATCATTCTAGTATTGAAGTATTGATTATGTATTGAAATTAGAATGTCCACTCATCACCCTTAAGCTATCTCAATCATCTTTTTCCACTTTAATGGTCTTTGTTTTTAAGCGAGAATGTAAACACAAGAAAAAGGAAAAAGTAATGGATAGATTGAAAAGATTTCATAAACTATTAAGCTTGTGAACATGTAGAATGCCAATTTGCCTTATTTCAAAAAAAAAAAAAAAAAAAAAAAAAAAAAAAAAAAAAAAAGAATTCCAATTTGCCAGGGCTCTATATACCATTTGTCCAATTTATTTGGCGAAATTATTAAACGGACTAGCCCAAGGAAAGGAGTTGGATCAATTAACATATGGCTTCTACAAGTGTAATAGAATATGTCCATTAATTTTTTTTTGGGCAAGCCCAGAATAATGTATCCGCTAGGATGTGTTATATTAATTTGAGTTTCAATATGAACTTATTAGATTTTATTAAAGCTTTAATTGTAATTAGATTTGAGTAGCCCTTCGCCTCTTGTCAACCCTTATCACAACTTATTTTTCATGGTCTTATTTTAACTAAATATATTTTAATAAAATAATTGAATATATGGTGAGTAAAACAAGCCCTTAGTCTTTTACTCTGGCTTACGTTGGGTCATGTCCACTTATAGTGATGAACCAATGTTTTTGCCGGGAATGTTAGGCTCTACTTCGTATTTCGTACGTTTATCTTATTTTGACTAAAATATCTAAATCTACTTATTTTATTTTGTTTGAACTAGTATTATTTTATCTAGATTTATAGAACATTAGTAGAACTTTGTGATGGTAAGATATAATTGACTCAATTTTTTATACTTATTTTATTGAGCTTAATTATTATGAACTTGTTTTGTTTGCAATGTATATATTTTTGAAATAAAATAAAAAGTTAAAATAAGATGAAGTAAATAGACTCCTAGGTATAGATTGCCCAATATTACCAATGGACGTCTTATTGAGTTACTACTTACAAGTAAAGTTTCTTTATTTGCATATTTTTATCTCTTAACATTTCATATGCATGCACAAAAGAAAATAAAATAAAATAAAATAAAACTCCACATGTTTTCAAATGAATAGGCAAAATAAGGGTTGTGAAATCATTTTAGTGGGACAAAGAGAGTGTACTTCATGTATGGTATTTTGTATTAATCCGTATTAAGAGACAAAGTTACTAATATAAAAGAAATGTTAAAAGACAAAATTAAATTCAATGCATTAGGTCTAAGGCTCTTAGGTGTTAACTCAACATCTTTTAATACGTAGTATACTGTATATATAGATCTATTGAACTACTAGGTGATATCATGTGTCGATTGTCATAGTATATTATACAGTTGATGTACTTTTTTTCTTCTTCTTCTTTTTTTTTTTTTTTTTTTTTTTTTGTGTGTGTGTTTGTTTGTTTTTGACAATAGCAAAACATTAAACACATAGTTGAATATAATTGGAGACAATGTAGCTTCTTTTTGACAACGTAATGCATGTAATGAAAAGTAATTAGTAGTGTCAAGCTAAGTGTGTATATCCATAGATTTCTTCAAATGTTATTTGATAAATAAACAATAAAGTTGCATAAATTAGTTGATAATTGCTTGCTTTTAAAGTGAAAAGTTGTGAGTTCAAATCTAAATTGGCACATTTATTTTATTTGATGTAAAAATATTGTTTAATAAGTTAAATCAAATACTAATTGTGTTTCAAATAAATAAATAAATAAATAAATAAAAATACTAGTTGTGTTCCTGCCCTTTTTTAACCCAACTTGTTTGTCATCTCTATCAAGACGCACCACTCATAGGACCAAAACCAACCGTTTTTAGGAGAAAGAGTTGTATTTGAAATTACTTTTCATAAGGCTATAATAGAAAGATAATGACCGGATAAGATTCTAGCAAATAAACATATGTTGCACATGGGGGTTGCATTGGTTTATCCACCAATTCCTAATAAAAGCATCAACATAAAACCAAAGAAATATTAGGCTCACGGTCGTTTAAATGTTTCAATCACTTATATCGTAGGAAGAACAAAACACCATGTTATTATCATATTGTGAAAGGTATCACGTGTTATAATTCCAGAAAAGCGCCTAAGTTGTCGAATACGGTCAAACTTTTCTAAAAATTAAACACATATCGATGATCAAGTCTTTCTTTAAATGCCCATCCATCCCTAAGAAGCAATGATGAAAAAGAAATGCCGAAGAAGTAGGCTACATTGCAATTTCCTACGTTCCCATCCAAAGAACATAAATACGCAGGCTCAAAAGGAAACTGCAATATTAATGCCTATAAAAATACTTTCTATATAAGAAACACACTAAAGTGCAACTTCGAGGAAAGCAACCTTAACAAAATAACACCAAACTCCAAAAAACATCTCTTTTAACTTTACTTATTCCAACTGCCAATCTGTAACTTCGTTGGCATAATCTATTTCGTCCAATTCCTTATGTAATTTCCACTATTTTTTTGTTTCCTACATACACTACCTATATATATATATATATATATACACAAACTCACCATATATTTTTATTCAACCAACAACATACATATTATTTTCAACATATACAAAGTAACATACATTATTTGTTATGGCATCGAAACAAAGCATTAGTAACGGGGTTGTGTTCGAGGATTTCTTACCATCGATGGTGGAGAACCTCGGCGAGGAAGGGTTCATGGAGGAGCTATGCAACGGGTTTCAACTACTAATGGATGAACAAAAGGGGGTGATAACGTTTGAGAGCTTAAAGCGAAATTTGTCGGTTTTAGGGTTGAAGGGAATGAGTGATGAAGAAGTAAGGGAAATGATGAGGGAAGGGGATGTTGATAAAGATGGATGTTTGAATCAAATGGAGTTTTGTGTTTTAATGTTTAGGTTAAGTCCTGGTTTGATGGATGGTTCAATGAGGTGGCTTCAACAAGCTCTTGGACAAAAATCATGCTTTTAATACTATATTTAGTTAGTTTATAACTAATTAATTGAGGGTATTATTAGCTATGCTATTTTGCAAGTTTCTTGTATTTTTTTAATTTTTTTTTTTTTTATTTTGAAGTCATTTCGTCAATGCATTGTTTTGTAATTTGCTAAGGAATGCCAATGTTGATTATGTAATAGGTGATTTTTGTTAGAATTCATGCATGTATTAAGTTATGTATTATCCCTATATCATGATAAATGAAACGCTTCATTGCTACCAAATGATCAAATGTTCAATTCACCAGTTTTTTTTTGTGTTTTTTTTTGTTATTTTTTTTTATTACAGATTTTCATTTCTTCCCACAAGTTAGTCTCTTTGAGCTCACAAGTTAATAAAGTTATAGAGTAATAATCCTCCTAGCGGAGACACTACACATACTGACAAAATAATATGAGGCAGAAAGCTTGATCTTCTATTGATGAGAGATGCCAATATATATCACGTACAAATATGATGGCAGTAGGAAATAATCTAGGCTAGATACTATAATCCTATCCTATGCCAACCATATAATATC